CCAGACAATTGATTTGCTCGGAAAGTTATTCCATTTAAAAAACGAACAAATTGTATATCGGGAACGATCATTTTAACCAACTTCATTCTATTCCTATTCTGTATATTTGTCATTTATTGTACCAATTGACATAAACATACCAAGTGTCAAACAAAACTAGTGAATTAAAGATAAACCATATTGCTTGATTTATAGATTGAATGTTAGATGTGGCATACAGAAAATACAAATTTATCCGTTCAAGCAGAATCAACCCCTTGTCACCAAAGCTTGTTTCACCCAAAGCACTTACAGATAAGATAACAGAGACCGAGTAGTTTTACCTGACAAGTTTTTGAGGTGTAAAATTAGATTCCCATAGATGGTTCAAAACTGCTCCCTTCCATGTTGCTCGAAACCTTGTAATCCGCTCAGATTTTGCATCTGATTCTGATGAAAATCCAGCAGATCCAACCAGAATCAAATGTTGTACATGCTCAGGGTGCTATATTAAAATGATTACAACGTGCATCAGAACAATCAACAAAATAAAATAAAACGTCACACTACTTAGTATTTTAATGCCGTGCAATGTAGGAAGAGATTCACCTTGAGCGCATATTTAGCAGCAACATAACCACCAAAAGAATGTCCAAGTAGTATAAAATTGCTCAAATTTTTGGCTTTTCTCCATTCCTCAAAAGAATCAATGAACCATGCCTCAGTTTCTGCACGATCAACAACCAATTATGATTTCTAAGAAGCTGCCACAGTAGCGACTTCCAAGTTGAGCAACATTGTAAAACTTCACCGTTAAAATTTCAAACCAGCTATATCATTGTATTCTTAACATGACTCTTAACTAACCTTCAGTGCTTTTGCAAGTAAAATCAGGTCTGCTTGATGCACCCCAGCTGCAAAATAAGTTTCAAAATTGGGAATGAGAAAAAGGCACGATCATATGCACATGGCAAATTAGAACGCCAAAGTTTGACACTGCTTCTCCCGTCAATTACCATAGTAAACAAAAGGAACCCATCTCGAAGGTTCAACAGCAACGACTTATTAAAGGGCTCAAATAAGATAGATAAATGAGCACCCATCTTTTTATGATATATCCAATCCACTTATCCTTTCCCAGAACAAAATGGAGCACAAGACCAGAAAAGCAGTTTGAGACAGCAATAAAATGCGGCCACATTAGGAAGAAGAAGAGCATAACTCACTCACCCAAGTTGATCAACAGCAATGACTCTAAATCGAGAGGCAAGCACATCAAAATTGCGAAAAAAGAACCCCTGGGAAGCAGCATAACCATGAATCATCACAAGCGTAGGAGCATCAGGTTTACTGTCAAATGTGACGCTGTGAATAAACCGCGGCTCGTTACTAGCTGAACGGAACCATCTCACTTTGGAGCCAGGAGGACCAGAACCTATGTTAACGTGCTCTTGAACATAACCGGTTCTGCCAACCCAAACAACCAATTACCATCGTAAATTAATATTCAAACGCACATAAAAACCCCATTGTATAAATAAAGGATTTTCAATTTTAACATAAAGAATCCCCGAAAATTTTTGGGGCGAATACATTTGAAATTTAGGGTTTAGAATTAGTTACTTGACGACGGAGAGAAGGCGCTTCTCGGCAGCGATGATATCATCGACGGAAGTGGGAATCCAACGAGGCCAGAACCTGGAGCTTCTCGACGTTTTCAACGTTGATCCGACGTCGTTTTCTCTAATCGTTTCCGACATTATTAAGAATCTCCGGTGCTATTCCTTCTAAATTTATTAGAAGATGAAGTTATGAACGGTGGTAGATTGCGGAGTACGCAATACCAAAACAGGAAAAAACAACAAGAAAGTGATTTAGACGCGGAATCAATCGATGGAATTGTAATCAATCGGTTGAAATGATCGTTATCATTGAAAAAAAAATGATGGAAAGACTTTGAATGCGAATTGAGAAGGCAATGGAATAAAACTATTTATGAGGTAGCAAAATATGGAAACAAGATACCGCAGGAACTGCTTACGCGAGCAGTGACGCGCATCCATGATCATGGTGCATGCTGTAAACACAAACACGCTATCCTTTTGACTTCGATTCAAAGAACAAAAAATCTTCCCACAAGGTCAAGATTTTATTCAATGTCAAGGCTGTGTTGATTTACTGTTAAAAGAGACTCTGAAAGACTGATTTGCGAGTAAACATAGCTTATTAGAAGGAAAGAAATTTTTACAATATTATCCCCCTTTTAATCATCGTACAACGTAAAAGAGGGAAATTAGTTCTAAAATATTATAACTGATTTGGTGGATGATGAATAAAAATAAATCACTTTTGGAACCGATTATGAAAAATCATAGAATTGATTCTGGTAATCATGAAAATCGATTCCATACACATATTTTGATATAATCGGTTTTCTTAGTATTATCAAAATCTATTTAATTTGTTCGAAGTCTTACTTATGTTTTATTGTTTTGTGGTTTTATTTTATTTTCGTGTTGTTTAATCCATGATCTATTTTCCTAGTTTTAAAATGTGATTTTATTTTATTTTTCGTGTTGTTTAATAATCCATGATATATTTTCCTAGCTTTAAAAATATACATTTTGTTTTCTAAAATGTAAAATAAAAATTATTTGTTATTTAAATTTTACAAAATAAAAATTCTCCTATTATTATTTCTTTGAATGGTAAAATTTTAGTGGAGAAACTTTCATCACGCTAAATTTTATTTTCTTATAATTTCAACAAATAATACATTCCTTCAAAAAAAAATTCGCAGGTTCTGTTTTTCGAAGCACAAGGTGTTCTTCTCCCCATTCAAGTTTTAAAAAATAACACTCTTTTCTCTTCCTGCATCCTGTTACAACGAACACCACCAACTTTGGTTTATTACTTTTTCTGCTACACCGAGCATCCCCATTATGATTTGGACTTGTGATTCTTGCATTCATGGATGTTCAAGCTTCTCTCATCTCGTCTTCAATTCAATGGTGGTTTTGGAAGTGGTTTTCCTGCATAAAAACGCAGTAAAGGGAGACTATTTTTGTCTGTGTTAAAGCTGAACAATATTTTCTCACAAATCTCGTGTATACATGTGAATGCTTGTCACTTATATCATCGACCTCAAATCGCTTTAAAACCCCTTAAATAAACAGCCGAGTTATTGTCAAATCCGTTTTCACGTTTCAACTCTGTGGCACTCGGAAACAAAGAGTGTTTTGGATTGAAAGATGAATTTGGAATAATAAATTTGAATGGAGTTGAAGGAAAAATAAAATTAATATGAGAGATTATTCGTGTTTATTTCTAAGGATTAGCAAGAAAGAATTTGAGATATATGCGGGATTGATATTTTTTGTATCTCGTTAAAATGTTTATATTTGAGCTGATTCATTAAGAAATGTCGTTTTTACCCTCAGCCTTTTAGTGAAATGTCACCTTTTATTTCAAATAATCCATGGCAATGAAGTTATTATCTTTTTTATATTTGGAGGTGGTAAGAGTGTTTGGAGGTTGGAGATGAAGAAGAATGGAGGTTGAAGAAGAAGATGATTGACGTTGAGGATGAACAAGACGAAGTAGAGAGGAGGTTCAACATGAAGAAGATGAAGAAGAAACGTTGAAGAAACTTTCTGGATTGATTCAAGCGGTGATTCAAGCGTTGGTTTATTCGGTTCCACTAAAAGATATTCGGTTCCAGCTCGTAGAAGATGTATAGAAGTGGAGGCTGTATTCGGTTCCATCATATTTTGTGTTGCAGCATATTCGGTTCCAGCTGCTGGGATTCGGTTCCCTTGAGAATTGCTTCAACATCTCGTATTCCATTACAAGGCTGAATGTAACTGAATACACTGCTTCGTACTTGAGAAGTTGCTCCTTTGAGCCTCTCACCAGAATTTCAGTACCAAAATTTCACCTGACACTAATGGGATATAATTGTATGTTATGTTTGTGTCGATGGGAGGTAGAAAATTCCACCAGCTTTGCGGGATTGGCTCAGTATATAAATCCTTTTGGGGTAACCATCAACTACTCAATAACTGCATCTATCAGTATGGTGTAAGTTTCCACATGAAGTTTTGACTTCAAAGATTGTGTGAGAGACTAGTTTTTTAATATGTTATTCTTTGATATTTGTTGAAAATTGATCAGGGTAGTGAAGTGGTCGAACTGTTTTCACAAACATGAACATGGAGACAAGTGCTACATAAATAACTATCCTTTCATGATCGTGTTTGTCTGCATCCAAATTGTTCTTAGCCAAATACCAAACTTCTACTAACTCTCTTGACCTCTATTGTTGCAGTTATTATGTCTTAAATATATATACTTTTTAATGATTGTATTGTTGAAAATAAATATGAATTAACTTCTATCTTTAAAATGTTGATAAACTAAATTACTTAATATCAATATAGTTTTATAAAAAATATGTTACATATTAGGTTGATGAGTTTTGATTCTATTTATTAATAAAAACATGAGTATTATGAACCCACCCTAGTATTCTTTCTAACACATTAAGAATTACTTAAAATTACAAAATTATTAAAGCTATATAAATAAATTAAAAAATTACATTTAAAAATAAATTTATTTTACTAAATTAATTTTAATAATTAATATTAAATTTTTACTTTTTATAAATATTTTCACAATTAAATATAATATTAACAATTATAATTTTATATTACTTTAATAATTATAAATATTTTGATAATCTTTAATTTTTATCCATTAAAAATATTATGTATCACATCAATCAAATCTTTCATTAATTTTTATAAATTTTATTTTTAAGTTCACTCCCGTCTAACTGAATCTATTTAAATAAACAACAATATCACCCTCTCGCAAATTTTTTTCTCTAAGTAAACACGCAGATCATGCGAGTTGAATGAGTTTATAATAAAAATATATTAAAGGTTGTGTATATAATAATTTTTTTTAATAGTTCAATAAATAAAAATAAAAATTATTATTTTGCCTTAATTATAAAAGTAGTTTAATATCTTTTCTTCTCCTTGACCAATTCAAACAGACTGTTCTCCTTCACTCTCAAATTTCTTCGTATACTCCTCCCGCGCACACCGCCGTGGCAATCGCGGTCTCCAGCCTCGGGGGCGGGCTCCAAATCTGCTGTCGTCGCTGGCGAGTCGCTGGCGGGCCTTGACTTTTAGCGGCAACGACTTCGCCATGGCCACTTGCGCATTTTCTTCTCCTCCGCCCTAGCCCAGTGGCCATTTCCTCTTCACCGCCAGACCCAGAAGAGAGCATCTTCTTTCTCCCCCAAAGTTCCGGCGAGACTCCAACGGGCCTTGACCATCAACGGCGTCAACGAGAACCACCGCGCGTCAGCCGCTAGCCATTCCTCCTCCGCACGAGCTCGCCGCAAGCTCTCCGTCGTTGAAGCCCTCATCTTCTTGCCGCTCTGCGACGTCGGAACCCTAGGCCGTCCGCCGCTGCCATCTCCGGTGAGATTTAATCACACTATTTTCACCCTCTTCTCTGCCACGTTTCTCTGTGTGCGCGTATCATCTTTTTCCCTCCTTTCTCTGTTTTGTTTCTTTCTCGATTTGGATTCGTTCCGTGGGTGATTGGGGCTGATTGGGTGCATTCTAATGGGTTGTTGCTACCAAATAGAGAGATGGTGAAGCTGATAATTCCTCACGACGATTGGCATCATTCCTGAACTTTGTCCAATTGTGTTTAATTACTTGAGACGATTGTGTAATTTGTTGGATTGTTTGATGATTTATTTGATTGCGAAATTCGTTTGTTTACTTTGATGATTTGAGTTGCTGCTGAGTGATGTTGAAGAGGTTGAGTTCGGGGTGGGGTTTATCTGCACAGGTTATTTAAAATATGACTGTGATGGCCTGCAACCTAATTGGCGAGTTCATTCTGTCTTTGAGTGTTTAAAGAGGCCTATTTTCTCAAATGTGGAAAAGGCAATTTGTCGTAATTTGACAGCTAAGGTCGATGCTTGTAGTTTTTGGGTTCATATGCATTTCGCAATTAATGATTATTGGGTCATCATTAACATTAATGAAATTCATGCCACTAGGGCTAGCGGAATCAAAGAAAAGCAATTGTAGTCCAGTGCTTTCTTTATGCATGAATGGAGCTCATATTATTATATTATTCAATTAATGCTTTTGGAACATACTTAAGCTTGCATGTCAGGCCAAAGCATTTGATGTATTTGGTTTCTTTTTGGTTCTATATTTATATAATGTGTCCAGTTTTAAGCTTAGTTTTGAGTTTGCAGTTTAATAAGTCACGGATAGCTTTTGATTTGGAACTACTTCCCCAATTTTTTTATATATTAAATTGTGGTAATATAGGTTCGCTTGCATCGCTTTATATCTGTTTTTTTAAAGAAATTAATTGATAATTTTTTTTTCTTTTTTTGGGTATCGTTTGGTGGTGCGTGTCATTTGGTACCTTTCAAAAATAAGTGTTGATACATGTATGATTGCCCACATCTTCTTGTATTCAATACTTCTTTTTTTAAAAATATTTTCCTTGCTTCTTTTGGATGTCTATGACTGTTCGTCTCATCTGATATCTTTCCAAATAATGGCTTGAGTATTTGTACGACCCCTTGTGTCATTTCAGTACCCAGTGTCTATTTTTCAAGAATATAAAATATAAAAAATATAAACGCTTCAGTACTCGCTCGAACAACTCTATTTAGATCTATGTAAAAACTGATTTTCCATTATAAAAGAAAATATTAATCTCAAAATCTTAAAAGAAATATGTTTGTTTCTTTTATACTTCTTTTTCTTGTTATTTTAGTGGAAAAATAAATATTTCAGAAAATCACATCTTTTTTATATATTTAGTTAAAGGTACTTAATCGACTTTCGGACTCAAAATATGGTTTATAGACCATGTTTTATCTTTACGATTTTTTATAGGTTTCTAGAATAGTGGCAACTCTAAACTCTATATTCAAAATTATTCTCTGGTTTGACTTCCTTGCAATTTCTGCTGTGACAATGGAGAAAAAATCAATCCAGCTTTCGTTGATAATGTGTATTTTGCTCTTGTGAATGTGCTGGCTACTAGTAACTTGAGAAACAGAACTTTGAAAGTGAAATGTTTTGAATTTGTGTGAAAGTGCCGAGTTTAAAACATTGGTTATGATTCAGTGATTTACAGGATAGAAATCTGAAATTAGAACATCGTAAAACCTGTTCGATGACAGCTAAGGAAATTCAATTTTTTTACTTGACAAGTCAATATAGGTGAGCTGGATAGCCTACTGTCAGTTCAGTTCAAGTGGATCATAAAGAAGAACAAAGAATGAGTAGAAGACCACCTCCTGATCCCGTGGCAGTGCTAAGAGGCCATCGAGCTTCGGTCACAGACATTTCTTTTCATCCCTTTAAGCCGATATTATTCTCCGGGTATTCATTGCAATTGTTTGTCGTTTTTTGTTTTATGGGCATTACTCTGGTACACATTTTTTTCCCTGGGTATGGGACATTGGCATCCAATATCTATCAAGCATTTCTTTGGCTGCTAGTTACTTTTATAATAGTTTTTGACACTAAAAGTAAAATCTGTGTTCAATAAATGATGAGTTGCCTTGGATGCCATACCCATCGGTGTGCCACAAGAACTCCCTGATTTAGTTGGTTGCGTATACAATTAGTTTCACTTAATAATTAGTTGCATCATCCTCTTCTTGCTTGCAGTTCTGCTGATGGTGAAGTCCGAATTTGGGATACCCTTCAACATCGAACCGTGTCATCTGCATGGTGCTTAGTTCTATAATTTTTTTGGCATTCATATTTGTGAAGAATATCGTTGATTTTCAGAAATATGATCCATGGTACAAATTAATTTTATACTGCAGGTTACATAGTGCTGCACATGGTATTGTTGTTGTTGCNGTTTGAATTCGGGTTCTGTTTTTAGGGATTTGAATGGGGTTTTCTTCCGGTGTCCCATGATTTTGGGTATGGTTGTGGAGGAGAAGAAATTCCAGGTATGGAAGCTATTTTAGTGGGATTGATTGCTTGTATGTGGTACGATATGCTTTTCCCCTATTTTAATGTTCATTCCAGTATAATTGTATGTTTGGGGAACTGAAAATAGAATACTCTTCTAATCCTTGTAACTGAGGTTTCTCTGCATTTCTTTGATATTCCTTAGGTACATATTGCAGTCAAGTTGTTGTTATCAAAGTTCTGAATATGGACCCGGGTATAGTGAAAAAACGGAGGGGAGTGAATATGGATCTGGGTATGGGGAAGAACAACAACAGGACAATGGGTATGGTTATGGAGGGAGGAGTGAGTATGATGAGAAACCTAGCTATGGGAGCCAAGGAGGTGTTGAGAATGATTATGGGCATCCACCTCAGGAGGAGGGCTACCGAAAGCCTTGCTATGAGAAGCGTGATGATGAGGGCTATGGACACAAGAAATATGTAAGTACTACTGCATCATGTTTTATCTTTACAATATTTTATAGGTTTCTAGAATAGTGGCAACTCTAAACTCTCTATATTCAAAATTATGCTCTGGTTTGACTTCCTTGCGATTTCTGCTGTGACAATGGAGAAAAAATCAATCCAGCTTTCGTTGATAATGTGTATTTTGCTCTTGTGAATGTGCTGGCTACTAGTAACTTGAGAAACAGAACTTTGAAAGTGAAATGTTTTGAATTTGTGTGAAAGTGCCGAGTTTAAAACATTGGTTATAATTCAGTGATTTACAGGATAGAAATCTGAAATTAGAACATCGTAAAACCTGTTCGATGACAGCTAAGGAAATTCAATTTTTTTACTTGACAAGTCAATATAGGTGAGCTGGATAGCCTACTGTCAGTTCAGTTCAAGTGGATCATAAAGAAGAACAAAGAATGAGTAGAAGACCACCTCCTGATCCCGTGGCAGTGCTAAGAGGCCATCGAGCTTCGGTCACAGACATTTCTTTTCATCCCTTTAAGCCGATATTATTCTCCGGGTATTCATTGCAATTGTTTGTCGTTTTTTGTTTTATGGGCATTACTCTGGTACACATTTTTTTCCCTGGGTATGGGACATTGGCATCCAATATCTATCAAGCATTTCTTTGGCTGCTAGTTACTTTTATAATAGTTTTTAACACTAAAAGTAAAATCTGTGTTCAATAAATGATGAGTTGCCTTGGATGCCATACCCATCGGTGTGCCACAAGAACTCCCTGATTTAGTTGGTTGCGTATACAATTAGTTTCACTTAATAATTAGTTGCATCATCCTCTTCTTGCTTGCAGTTCTGCTGATGGTGAAGTCCGAATTTGGGATACCCTTCAACATCGAACTGTGTCATCTGCGTGGTGCTTAGTTCTATAATTTTTTGGCATTCATATTTGTGAAGAATATCGTTGATTTTCAGAAATATGATCCATGGTACAAATTAATTTTATACTGCAGGTTACATAGTGCTGCACATGGTATTGTTGCTGTTGCTTGTGCTTCTTCCCTCGGAACCAATAAATTTGCCAGGTTCATCCTTTTCTACTTGATCTCCCCCGGTTCTGTTTTAATATCCAATTATATTCTTGCTTTATCAATATTCATTATTCTGTATATGTGTAGCCAGGGTAGGGATGGAACTGTAAAAGTTTGGGAATTTGATGATGCCGGTTTGTCAAGGTGTTGTAGTTCAACTTCTACAAATGTCTTATCCTTTTAGTTTTGAAAGGATAGCTTGTGTTTTTGTGATACAAGCTATGGAAATGTTCTTGTTATCACCTTACCTTCTGTTTTGCTGCACTCCAAACACAGGATCCCATCACTTACAATCAAGACAAACAGTTACCACTTTTGCAAATTTTCCGTGATGAAGAATGATTCTGTTGGGTCAACAGAAGGGAAAGAATTAGAAGATTGCAACAGAAGAGACCCAGGAGGAATGTCTGATAGAGAAATTCTGGAGGTTAAAAGGGACGAGGCTTACACCAATCAAAGTTGTTCTAAAAGCTTTGGAGGTTTGTTTGTTGAATTCTATATTTAACGTTTATGAAGTTTTGAAACTTCTGACAGATTTTCCGTTCTGAATTTAGAATTCCGTCATTCTTTTACAATATTAACAAGGCATCAATGAAATGTGGTGATTTCAATACTATAACCTAAAGGTAAAGGATTAGGCAATCTTGTGTTGGCATGATGGTTTTGGAATGATAGAATTTTATCATCTAGCTAGTGTTGTTTTTATCTTTTGCAACCCTAAGCATCAGCATGCATACCCTGGCTACTTCTGTGAAACTTGTTGGGAATGACTTGCACATTTTACAAAATTTAGGAAAAAACAGTATTTGAGCTTGCAAGAAGTTATGTGATTTATTACTGCCACTGTTATTTTTCTCTTATACACATAAAATAATATGGTTTAACATCATCCTAAAATTTTCAGACCTATATTGTTTGGTTCAACTTATTTTTAAGAAATAATTGCTTACTTTTTTAGTTTGAAGAAAAAAAAAACATTTTTCCAAAATTAATCTTAACCAAACATGCACTCAGTACACTTTTGCTTGTGTGCATGATAATAGATACTTGAAATTTAATAATTCCACTGTCAAATTCTGTATATTTTTAAAAAGGCTGCAAAGGCCATTGCACTTCTGTAGATACTGCCTTGGTGGACTAAATTTCTCATCTTACAGTTCTCTAGTTCTCCTTTTGTGTTCCTAAAGTGTTTATGCTTTTTATTACTGAAAGATACTGTGATATTATACAACTGCGATTGATGAAATCTCGTTGTATTCTCAGAAAATACATATAGTGGAGGGCTACAATATGTGGCTTTGTCAGGGGAGAACTCTTCAGAGGTAGACGTACCTTTCTCATGTAAAACTTAATTTATTCTTTTAGATATATTTCATTGTCAAATTATGAACGAACCCCTATGCTCATCTATTCAATCATTTTTAAAGGTCGAAATTTGGGATCTCAAGTCAGCTCAAAAAATTGTTCAACTCCCTTCATGCAATCCCAGTAACCCTTCAAGTGTTAGCAACAGAGGTAGAGATTTGTTTTGGGTCTATATTGAGGTTCAACTTTACCATCAATCTTTTAAAATTCTCATTTCTCAGGATACCTGGTGCTTTCATGATGCTTACATATTTTTTTCCATATCAACTCCTCCCTTCTTTTAAACATTCTGTTGCTTATAATTTATGAAAGTACTTTCACTGAATCATCACAGCTGCTTCTTGTCAGGGATGTGCATGGCACTTCAATTGTTTTTATCATCGGAATCACAAGGATTTTTAAATGTCTTGGCTGGGTATAGTCTCAATCCTCTTTTCTCCCACCCTCCCTCTCTCAGACCTGTAAGTGTATTATGTTAAGCATATCAAGTGAAAAGGTGTCCTTTCAGTGCAGAGAGCAAAACACGATCCTTGGATCAAGTATTATGGTATAGGGTTAGAACACAATAGTCGTTTCAGTGGTCATGTTCCCCAAGTTCTGATACTGGCCATCCTCGTGAGATTGAATGGTCAATGTTTGTTCCTTTGGATCTCTTGGAGGTTATATGATGTGAGACTGATTATTATGAAAAGTGAAATGAACCAATGTTGACCATTAAATATTACATGGATGACCAATATTAGAAGTTATTTAGGTGTCACATAATTACTATAAACTTGATGTTCTCTTGACTGTTCATGTTTATTCAAAGATTTTCTCCTCTAACTCTTAATTAAAAACACCCATAGTGGGTGTACTTCATATGTGTTTTTGAATATAAGAGTATTGACTAGTCTCATCCTATACCCCCAATGTAGATATGAAGATGGTTCCATGCTTTGGTGGGATATACGGAATCCTAAAGTTCCAGTAACTTCTGTAAAATTTCATTCTGAGCCAGGTGTGGAAATTAGCTTTCTCAGATTTCATTTTATCTTTTGATACAAATTTGTTAACAACTGATTAATTTTTTAGTTCTGAGCATCTGTATTGACGGGTCTTGCAAAGCGGGTATCTCGGGAGCAGCGGATGACAAAATTATAATGTACAGCCTGGATCATTCTTCGGTAACATCCTTTTACTTTTATTTTCTTCTACTGAAACTTCATGCTCATAAAAGTTGTTGTTAATTGTTATCATTCCAACTTCATGTTGATAAGAAGAAAAATCTTAAGAATGAATCTGTTATGCTTCTTGTAGTTAGTATCTGTAGATACTGCTTATGTTAGTGTTTATGTTTCAATTATCAGTTTATTTTGTTTTTTTGATTTTCTGACTCTCTGGCTTCCACTGACTCCGAGAAGACAGCACTTACCTCCACCCAGCCATAACAAGTTTTTCAAACCCAATCAGCATGTGAACAAAATGTGTAATAATGATTCTGGTTTAGAGTACACATCGGACAGCTCCAGTCAGAATCCTCGTGAGGAATATTTCTCCTAAAGAAGTGATCCCTAGTTGGTAACCTGTTTCAGATCATCCTTTATGTAAAAAAGCTTACCTTTGGTGTTACCTTAGCCTCCCATACTTCTTTGTAAACTACGTCTTACCGAGTTATTACCTGTTCCCTTGTATAACTAAGTAAGCAGACTTCACCATATACTCCCCACACGTCAGCCTTCCACTTCCACTCGTCTTGAACTTTTGTTTTAATTTTCACCACCCTACTTTTGGTGTTCTCCAACTCAATTAAACAATTCTTCTCCCGCTCAAATAGCTCTCTTCTCCATTTGAACTTCCAACTCCAGGTTCCTTCTTCCGAGGTCCCCATGTCGTTAACACTATATCCAATTTTTGTTCTGGCGGTATAAATAACCACACATCCAATTATGCCCCGTTTCAGCTTCTTTGTATTTTTTCTTATATAAATCATGGTGACTGTAGGGTACTTGTGTAGTTAAGAAAGAAATCAGTTTGGAACGACCAGGCATATCAGGCATCTCAATTCGACCTGATGGAAAAATTGCTGCAACTGCTGGCTGGGATCACAGGTATCCTATCTAAATGACCGACATATGTGACTATCAGTTGGAGAAATTCCTTTATATAAACTAGAAAATTTATTATGCATTGCACAAGCGTTTTTAAATGAGTTAGGATCTGTGTACCAGGTGTAATGCTTAGTCAAATAATACGAACTTTTATAAAATTCAAATTTATTGTATTCAACCGTTTAATTCAATGCCTTCATTGATTAGATTATGTACAGAAAATTTAATACAATTTTGAATTATTTAAAAGCTTCTCACATCACTTAATTCTAATGAATAATATATTTAAAAATATCTAATTTTCATTATTAGACCATATCTATAAACATTTCAATTATTTCAACTATTAGATGGATTGAATTTGCATTCTACTCCAAAAAACAGTTATGTAAGTTGCAATTTGACTATGTTCACAAGTAGTATAAATGGCTCCTCACAAAATTCATAAAAACATTTACTCCTGGTCATGTACAAATCTTTTTATCAAAATTACTAAGATATAACTATTTTCGTCACCTCATATGAAGGCTTCACTACCTACTAATGTTTCTCCAATTTTTTAAATTTTCGTGACCTACACAACTGGCTGTTAAACTTTTATCTCAAACCAAATATTCAATATTTCAAGAGTTAACTATAAAGAAATCACTCTCCCGCCTGTTGTGTATTTCGATTCATTTCAATGTTGACAAACAAATCAATCATCTATGCATATCTATGAATAATATAAATTAAATTAATATAAGCATTTAATATTTCTGTTGTATAACATTGCAGTGGTGCTATGTTTTCACTGGTGTTAATGAAGAAATTAATAAGAGAAATAATAAAAATGTTAGTTTATTAGATAAGAAAAAATAGAGATATATTACAATTTTGAAATTGAAGAGAAAACCATGCGAGTTATGTTAACCAAGTCATGTAGTCTGTGTTTTCTAATTCAATACAGTATGTAAAAATTTATGTAATAATTTATAATAAGAGATGTAAAAAACATAATGCTAGACTTTTCACGAAGTCTTCTAACACATTAAGAGAGGAAAATAGGAGGGTATTTACTCTCAAGAACCAAGATTCAAATTTAATATATATATATATATATATATACATAAATATATACATACATAAATATATACATAAATATATATACATACATATATACATACATATATATATATATGTATGTATATATATACATGTATATACATATGTATGTATATATTGATTATGATTTAGCATAAATCAAAATGAGCAGTTCATTTCTTTTGCTCTTCACCACTGGTATCTTTCCTGGAAGGTGATCTATTTAGAACCCATTTTTTTTCATATATGCACACAAGTTTAAACAAGAGACCGTGTTCAAATGCAACTCCTCATTGGTGGTACTCGTGCTGCTGTTTGATATCTCTGTTATCTTTATGTTAGGGTGAGGATATACAATTACCGCAAGGGAAATGCTTTAGCTATTTTGAAGTATCACCATGGCACAGTAAGTCACTGTTTCTTATATCTGTGACAATCTAAAGAATCTTATTGACATGAAAAACGACATTTTCATTTTGGCAATTCATAATTTGACTGACTGTTTTTGTCTGACATTGCAGTGCAACGCTGTAACTTATTCCTCTGATTGTAAACTTATGGCCTCTGCATCGGAAGACACAACCGTGGGGCTATGGGAATTGTATCCTCCTCGAATATGATAGGAATTCAATGGTTAAGTAATTTTGTGCTAAAAATATTTCCTTCTAGGTTTGCACTTGGTATACCCTTAAAATAGAAGCGTATGTTTTTCTTTCTGAAGAGATTATTTAGCGTTAATGAATTTAAGTATTCTTCTTTGGTATGTATATTTTTCCCTTTGTATATTTTGTATAAATATTAGCAGAGAATTTTTTTTTTCATGTTTTTATTTCTTTTCAATAGGTAGCCTTCTACTTTACCGATGTCTTTTGAATTAGTTTCATTGTAAAGACATGGTTCATGATATTTATTTGACTTAATATCATCTTTCTTATTGGATTAATTTTAATTTATTTTTTATTATATAAGGTTCCTATGTTTTTTAAATATACTAGACGTGTTCCATTCCATTGTATCAACATTAATAACATTCTTCTTATTTTGTTTTTGGGATTGAACAATGATTCTATTGGTAAATAATAGGTCGATATTAATGTTAATTTAGTGAAAAATATCACGTTGAGTTAAAATTAAATAAAACAAAATATTGAATCATTATTACAAACACAATAAATGTTATTAAGTATATTTCTTTTAATGAAATTTGAATGACTATTTTTTTTATTTTTCATTTTATAGAATTAGTTAATACTAGATTGAAAAAATTGCATCAGTTTTATCATTTTCTTTATATGGACTCTTATTAAAACTTTCGCATGCATTTAAATTTATAGTCTTCTTAAATCTTTTATATTTTTAAAATGCAATTTCAATTACAAAACATTGTTAGGGAATTGAAGAACTTGTACTTGCAATTGTAGGTAAAATTTACAATGAATACTATATTGATATTTCTAATAGATATCTGCATATAATGTTTATGAGTATTTTAGACTTTTGTATGTTCACGGATGAATATGGGTGATATTTCACAAATGTCACTTGTTAATAATTATTAATAAATTTTATTTAAAATATTTTTAGAAAAGACAAATGATAAAATAAATTTATTAATGAGAAAAATGATGGTTTATAACTTAATCTTACATATATTTATATTTTTATTTAGAGCTATGGATTTTTAAAAAAAATAGTTCTTTATAATTTATATAATTTAAATTTATCTTTTCAGAAAAATTAAATTTTTTTGTATTAATATTTTAATACGTAACTTTATTTTTATTATATTTTAAAATAAAAAATTATCTTATTTATATTTTAAAGATTTATTTTTAAATAATCTAATTTTAAATTAAAAACAAAACAAAAGTTCATAGGTATAGAAAAAAATTTCCATTATTCTACCAAGTAAAAAGAAAAAAATAAATGTTATGTAGTAAGGATATTTATGTAATAACATAAATATCTTAGATATTTTAGACAGTTAAAATATCAGTCAAAGCCACTAACCACACTTTTAGGTAAGGTGGTTATTTTTATTTTTATTTTGCTTATAAATACAGTGACAGGACCCAAGTCCAGGTACGTTCTCTTTATGCTCTAGAGATCCTGAATAATATTTCAGAGCAGTATCATAATCATTCTCCTGAGAGCTTCAGCTCCATAATTCACATCTGACTTGAGCGTCGGAGTATCTTTGCAGGTACCTCCTCTCCTTTGGCGAGTATGAAGAACAACAATTGAAGATCAGCAAGCAACCCAGACAGCCAAGAACAGTAAAGACACGCAGGAAAATGTACACCGATAAGCAAAGAAGAGTGATTTGTTTTAGATAAGACCGATAAGCAAAGAAGAGTGTATTGTCTCCACCTGTCGTCATCTTAGTAGTGTAGTGTGTGTTTCTTCATCATTGTTCTTGTGGTTTACATAAACCAATTCAATTTCTTATTTGTTGCGTTTGAAAGGTTGACGAAGAAATCTATTCTTTGACTTTGGCAAAGTGTCCATGTGAGAAAGTCTGACATACATTATGTTCATTTATTTCCAAGCATTAATCACCAATACGATAAATTCAATAAATAAATCTCTTCTCAAACTCCAATGAAACCTATGTTTTTATATGAGATCCAAAGTAATCTCATAACAAATTTAGACGTTAATGCAATTATCCTCGTTCCATCATTTCCATTTAATCTTCTTCAAATCAATATGCCACTCATCCCATCTTTATCGAACACTTCCAAAACTATTAATTACGTGATTCCACCTAAATTAAATCCCAAGATTTGACGGTAAGGAATAAAACATATCATTCTTTCTAAAGTCAAAATATTTTAGGTTCAGACGTTAAAAATAGAGAAAAAATAATTTGAGAATTAATTATCGTGTTTCTAATTACCTTGTGAATGAAATTGTTATTTGTTATTATTTTAGGTTTACTTTTATGCTACTTTTAAAGGTATGTTTAGATATAAGTTTAAAGTGTTTTTAAGAATTTCTTCTTCTTTTTTAATTCTTGACACTTTATATTAGCCTCACGATTTATTCATATTTAGAAGTGATATTATAAGGGTACGAACTTAGATCACTTGATTAAAAGTTACATATTGTTACTGCTGTACCAATCAATGTTGGTTTGGATTTAGTTGCGTTTCCATGTGTATCACATGGAAAAAAGAAATGAATTTTTTATTAGCAAAAGGATGATGAAACATAAAATTAAATGTATGGGGTATAGTCTATAAAATTTATGTAGTAAAAAGAAATTCACTAGCAAGGTAGGAATATAAATGAAACTAATCGACTTGAGGTATAAAAGTCAAGCTTCATTTATAAAAAAACGAAAAAAAAAAAAACTATGGTGTTCTAACGAGCTTAATTTGTCAATATATAAAATTATGTTACTAATTTCTTCTTCTTTTTTCTACATATATTCGAGATACAAGATCATACTTCTTATGACGATTTTCAAATAAACCTAAAGAGAAGTTGCCTAAATGCCATTATTTGGGTTGATGTGAGAGATTAATTAATTGTTAAACATGTATTACACATTAAAATGGAAACTACATTGACTTCAAGTAATAAGCTTTCTGTTTATGAACAATGTCTGGATAATTAGTACCTTCAATTTGCCACCCTGTAATTAAACAATCATTCATTTCGTACCCACTTCTCAAACAGAGAGAATTTTTTATTTTATGTTCAAAAGCATTTTACATAAATTAATGTCTCCAAATCAATGTGTTAGCGAAACTAATTTATAATGAGTTAATAAGTTATAAACTAACTTAATCGTGTAAGAATAATTCTTTAACTCATCAGTATTTGATATAAGTGAAATAAAATGAATTTAAAACAAATTAATAAGAAAAAAAATAAAAAAAAAAACATAGAAACTTGTAGGTTGGTATTTTTACAAGTTAATTGAAATAATTTACAAAAATAAATTAAAATAAGTTTTTGTATGAAATTGTTTTGCTTAATCAAGTTAACTTTTTAAGCTAATTAAGAAATTTACAACTTTTTTAAATGTTTCGTCTAACACACTTTCGCAGATTAATTAATATAAGATTCTTTAAAATTAATTAACGATATTAAATTTAAGTCTTGATATATTATTAGGTTAAATATATTTATATTTCTTAAATTTTAAAACAAAATTAAAGTTCATTTATATTTTTGTCACAATTTTTAAAAAATGAATGAATATAATATTGTAACATAACTGCTCTAAGAAATGAATAAATATTTGAAATTTAAATTTTATCAAGATTTGAAATAATAACAAATTTCAATTTCGCTTTAAATTTTAGGAACTAAACACATTTAACTATTAGAATAAAAATATACGAAAGAGTTTTATCGTTCACAACAATAAAATTATTTTTAGGATGACAATTGTGAATGCGACTGAGGGTTTGATGATGTCATATTTAAAATAAAAATTCATTTTTATCTTAAACTTAATAAAGAGGACATTTTTTTTCTTTTATTGTTTTGAATATTAATTAAATAATTATTTTACAACAAATAAATATCACAAAAAAGAATCATATTCTTATGTATTAAATGTCAAAATAATACGTTCTTCTCCATATCAAATATAAAAAAGAAAAATTATAATGACATTAAATAACAATTGGATAAAATTAAAATTATTATTTAAAAGAGTCAAAATAATCACATTTATGATTTAAAAACAACTTATAAAACTCATAACCGAAGAATAATTTATATAAGTTTTTTATGTTATTTATTAAATCAAAAGATATTTTAGCAATTTAACACACGAGCAAGTATGATGCGAAATGAGAGAAATATATACATATTTATTCATGTTTTCACACTCAATTTAAAAATATAGATATTATTAACATTAAAAAAATTCTTAAATAACTATCAATTTTAGTGACTAAAAATAATTAATTATTATAGTTATCTATTTATAAATTAAAAATTATTATCTAAAACAATTTCTATTATAAATAAAAAATTATAATTAATTTTTAAATTAATAACTAAAATATCCCAATTAATCGATCTCTAAACATATTTTTGATACTAACACTCATACCGAATTATCAAAATCAAGAAAATTTTTAATAATACTTATGAAAACGTGCTCATTTATTTGCAAGTAATAAAGAATGGTAGAACAAATTAGAATCGAGTTTTTGTTTACATCCTTTTTTATTTCAAAATTTTAATAAGATAATTTTGTAGACCTAACTGAGATCTGTCTGTTTGAATCAAGACCACTTTAACCCGATTGGTTTATCTAAATCATACTTTTACATTATATTTTAGTATACATGATATATTAGAGTAAACATAATCAGAACAAATTATTTATGTAGACAGTAATTATATTACAAACAGGTAATTTAAAAAAGAACTTATTTTTTAAAAGAACGTATGAAATGATACTAAATTAAAGTAATCTAAAATAAGTGGAGTTTGTTTTTAAAGAAAGAGTTGTATTAGAAAGTAGCTTTTTTAACCTAATTCAATCCCATAAAGTTGTCTTGTAAGGTGAGGTTTGCACCTCATTTATATATTATAAATTGGTCTTATTTCTGGTCGATGTGAAACTTCTAAAAAAGTAAATTTTTAAGTCTAACTCAACTCCACAAAACCGGCTTGTAAGGTGAGGTTTACACCTCATTTATATATTATAAATTGGTCTTATCTTTAGCCGATGTGAGACTTTCAAGAAGCTAGTTCGAAATTATTAAACCTGAACCGTAAATTTTGCTTTGG